GAAATGTATCTTCTTTGTCTAAATAGAGATATTCCTAAAATTCCACAAAGTAGTTTATCAGTTACTATTCAAGAAGAACAATGGTGTTTGAGAGTAATATATCCTCAAGATTAAACCCAAACAGGCATATAGATTTCACATAACCAGAAGATACATTTTTTTTTTTTACTAAATCTCTGTATATCATGACTGCTATCTATAAAATGTATGATGTATCTTGTCTTTTATCTAGGAGTTTGAGAAACAATCCTTATAAGTTCCTTTTTAACAGAAGTATAATGGTCTTACTACCTTTTGGGTAGTTGGTTTGTTTTTTCCTGAGGATTCATAAATTTGCTTTCCAGAACACAAAATCTGCATCTCAAAATGGCTTAAAGTTAGGCACCTAAGTATAGGGACTGCATCACAGAATCTCAGGAGATAGAAGCGACCTCAAGGTCCATTCCATGTCTGAGCAGGAATCCTCTCTACAATATCACTAAGCCTCTGCTTGAAGACTTCAACAGAGAGGAAGCTCACTATTTCTCAAGCATCCCATTGTACTTTGGAATAGTTATTGCCTTACAGTGTAAATCTCTTAGAGCAGTACTGTATGTAGTGTTTGATAGCTATTAATGATAAAATTCATGTATTCTTTTCTTCTATAAATCATTTAAATTTAATCCTAGGATATTCTTAAACATAGCAAAATACATATAAAACATCTGCATTATAGAGAATGGTGATTGATTCTTGATTGCTTTTTTGGGGAAATATTTGAGGATAGGACTTGTTTCATTTAAAAGATGCTATCATGCCCCATTCCAGTCATCTATATCTATAAGAAACAGTAAAAACATGGCAAAAATAGTAAAGCACAAAATAACTGAGAAATGCAAAGTCATATATAATCATATTTTTTTGCTTTCATGTTTCAGATTTATGTTCTGGTAAACACTTATTATGTAAGTGGCACCATGTGTACTAGAGTCTCTTCTCTTATTGATGTTTCCTTCACTCAAGAAACCAAAAATGTTTTGATTGTACTATTCCTTCTCCTCTCTCTTCGGTGAAAATAATCTTAGAAACTTTGAACCAAAATACTTTTATTTGTATGAAGGAGAGTGTGCTATTACTCTAAAACTACACTGATAACTCATTCCACTGTTATCATATTACTCCTTTTTTTTGTACCTAATACGTATGTCAAGTCTTCAGATAGGCAGTAGTGATCATTTTGTTCGTTTTAGACTTAGCCTAGGACTGAACTTGTATTTCTGCTAAAAAAAAAAAAAAAAAAAAAAATTAGCTACCAATAATTTCTGCCTCTACATCTGCTCCAGTACAGTTCATGAGCAATTACTGGCTTTTTCTAGAATATAATTAGCAATTTGCTGAATTTCAGCTGCTAACATGACTAATTGTTCTCTGGATTTGTGATATTTTTAAAATATTCAAGTTCATCTGAAATTCAACAAACATTTATTAAGTGCTTATTAGATGCAAGTATTGGGTGATAGAAAGATAAAAATAATGTAGCTCTTGCCCTCAAAGGAGGTTACCGTCTCATTAGAAAACTTTGACAGATATACCAAAATATTAAAAAACCCTACCACTAAAAACTAGATAATAGTAATGCTGTAAAAATGGTTCAGAGTGCTCTGGGCATTCAAAATAATAGATCATATTCAGGCACTGAAATTAACCTTCACTGTCTCTTCATTGTAGATTGTATTATAAATTCTTAATGAGAATGATGTTTTCCATAGTTAAAAATAATAGAACATTCTGACTGATTACAATCAAACTATAGGGAAAACAGGTCTTGGCACAAAATAAATTTCTTAAAAAGCCATAAAGGTTTCTTTTTTTATTTTATTAATAACAATAACATGGGCCTTTGCAGTTTACAAAATACGTTCACATGCATTATCTTACTAAATTCAACAAAAAGTGATTAAGCACCTACAGTATACAAAGGTGCTAAATGCTAGGGATATAAATATGAAAAAGACAGTCCCTATGAACTTAGTCTAATCAGGGAGGTTTAAAGGAGAGGTTTAAAAATATTTTAGAAACTTGAGGAAGACAAAAATCAATTTAATGCAACTGAGAGAATCAGGAATTGCTTCCTAGATAAGGTAGAAAGCAAGTTGAACTTTAAAATGGTGATGGGGGTGACGAAGGTAGGGCAACTATTCCAGACATAAGAATTGTTGTCAGCACAGGCATGAGGTTGTGATTAGGTAGATCAGTAGATTATCTGTACTAATGTACAGATAGTCTAATTTAGCTAATGTATGGGCAGCTAAGTGGTACAGTGGATAGAGTGCCAGGCCTGGAGTCAGAAAGATTCATCTTCATAAGTTTAAATCTGGCCTCAGATACTTCCTAGCTTTGTGACCATGGGCAACCACTTAATTCTGTTTGCCTCATTTTCCTCATCTATAAAATGAGCTAGAGAAGGAAATGTCAAACTGTTCTAGCATCTTTGCCAAGAAAACCCCAAATAGGGTCATAGAGAGTTGAACATAATTAAAAACAACTAAAATAGCAACAAAACGTAAAGAGAAACAGTAGGGTAGAAAATGGGTTTGGAAGCAAATCATGGAGAAGTCTGAAATAACATATTGTATTTTATTATATTATATATTATTTTATTTAGGAGGCAGAGGTCTCTGAACAGAGGATTGATAGGATCAGCAGTGCATCAGGAAGATTACAAGGATAGTAGTTACAAAGGACAGATTAGAGAGGAGAGAGACT